GTCTCGTTTCGTTAGGCCATCCGTTGCTCTTCCTGAAGAAAGAATACTCAAAGCAACGAAAACAACAACATCAAATCAACAATGCTAGCAATAATAGCAACAACTTTAGTCAAAATAGAGAAGTTACAAGTGACCACTCAAATGGCCAGATTCGAGTGAATGATTAAGAGTCAACGATCGATAAGGCAGATTAACAAGGGATTATTGCCGAATAATGCAAGTGCCACAACACCATTAATCTTTTAGCGTGAAACTTTTGACTAACTTCGGTTCCATTTGTGTTTGCTTCAGTCGCAAACTGGAATATAATCGCTTGTGTTACGCACATTGTATATCAGGTTGACTTGAGTAAAAACTATTATATTGATAGTAAACATTTTCAATTAGAACTGACTAGTTATGACAGTCCATAGGCAGGTTACGAATGCCAAAGATATGTGAAGCTTTAGAGACTTAACGATTTGTATGCATGGAAATGTTTGAATTTTTGTAACTGCAATTTCAGAATACNAAATTGATCATCGCAACTAGCTGATGAATAATATGTCTAGTACAACAAAACTGGATTGCAATAACATAAACAGGGAAACTGTTCGCTGAATGAAAATCATCAATTTTCATTACGTTGACGATAATTTTACAAAACAAAATTTTCAATTAGAAGTGCTAATAATGTCACTGTGATAAACCAAGCACACATAATTGTTGAAGAATGTACCACAAAAACAGTAAACAATGCCCAGATCGATGATGTCAGATCCCGTTTAGGGTCCATGAACCTGTTCCGGTTCGTTACCGTTCCAGGCGACCTTTTTACCTTTTTAATGAGAGTTTTCGCTTTCGATCACCATTCTGATCTAAACTCCACAATGCGATCATCACCGTTTGCTTGCGCTCCAGTATGACTGGCTTACATTTGACTGGCTTCAAATGTGAGCTTCATCTGACGGAGCTGTTCTAATGTCAGCGCTCCATTTAATCAAATATCTGATGCTTGCAATTTTATGCAGCATGCGATTGCTTATGAATGTTACCGTGCGTTTTGTTTTTGTTGAGATGTTGGATCGCTCGTCAATGCTCNTTGTGTTTAGATACAGCAACAATGTTTGGCATTATTCTGGTTCTTTCATTAGTTTTATTGGCACAACCCGCCTTGTCGTTTTGGGGCTACGGTGGACACATGGGCGGTTATGGCGGTTATCCCGGGTATGGTGGTTACCATGGTGGCTATGGTGGTCATCCTGGGTATGGATATGGTGGCGGATATCCTGGATATGGTTACGGAGGCTATCACGGCGGTTACGGAGGCTATGGCGGCGGCGGGTTAGTGAAATTCACTGATCATTTTATTTTTTTCAAAGTTTCACTATCACAGTGTACCTGAAAGTTACACTATCTGCTAGCAGTATTTGACAGTTTAAGTGAACAAAAGAATTTGACAGTGAAAAAATCTGCCTTGCTTGAATCAGTTGCGCATGCACCGCTTTTTCACCTCTCAAATGATTCATTCGCTCTCATCCCATTACCTTCATTGGTCACTCAAAACACCTTCCAATCATGTTCGAACAAATCACGTGCTTCCGTTACTCAACGATGGCTACGTGAAAGAATTTCCGAACACTGTGACTTTTTCTAGGAAATTTTCCATATTTCAATAAATACCTTTGAAACCCCTCGGATCCCGCTGATTCTTTCGTCCTGTTAAATGAGTTTGAAGGCATCGCAAACTTGTGATTGTTCTCNTGCTGAAGAATTTAAGTGCAATTAGATGTGCGCAGAAATTAATCGAAATTCGCATGTACATTTTCGATGTGAATGAGAGACCCAATGCTTAGTAATACTATGTTTTGCTCTGAGCAATGCGCTCAAATGAACTTTTTAGTGAGTGCGATTAGGTGGGCGACTCAAGAAACGAGATCTATGATTTGACTGGTTACGTTCGGAAAGTACAGTGTGGTTTTGCCGAATTGCAATAGACATCATCCAGCGCACTGACAAAATAGTTGATGTTATGAATGGAATTGTGAATGAATTAAGAATTTAGAAATGAATTATGTTCTGAATTGAGGAGAAATTCTTGGGAATCCTATACATAACTAACGAATGATCAAAAATTGTCGAATGCTGTTCATAAGCTCTCATAAAATTATTTCAAAAAATGTTATTGCGTATCGCTCCAATTTCCTTTCGTTCTTTTAAGTTGACGCAGTCACAGTAGTGAAGTTGACCAGAACATTGGTAGATATGTCAAAGTAGTTTCACGAATGTTTTTTAAAGTGTTTATCCGACTGAATCGAATCAGATCAGTGCAGATTCGCCATAAATATTCACCGAACATTGAAGCGTGATGCTTGATTCGCTGTTGATGCTGACGGAATCAAACAATTCATAATTCAGATACCATCACGGAGCTCACGTTGGCGCAGCAATAGGTGGATTACTTGGGGCGTTCGGTAGATAATGGGAACAATGACCGTGAACGATTCGACCGTATTGGAACAGAGAGAATCTGATTGTATATACAGAATTTTATTACAGTATTTGCTAGCAGTTGCATTGGTTTCCTAACGTTTCTCCAACGTGAATGCTGCCATTCAACAGTG